TTGTTTGTTGTTGTTGTTGTTGTTGTTTGTCATCGCCATGATCGTCATCATTGTCAGGAGGGCACTGTCGAGTTCGAACGTTGATTGTGTGTGTGCCATGTTGAACCATGCATGCGCTCTGCTCGAGAGAGATTATGCCGATGTCTTGTTCAGCAGACTTAGAGCAGGTTTGATTATGACGATGACGACGACGATGAAGATGATGATGACGTCCACATGGTTCAGCGGTTGAAGAAGGCTTCCTGTTGTTGCAGTGACCTGGTTTGAATGCAAAGAGATCTCGCATGTCACATACAATCAGTGTGTGTGTGTGAGTGTGTGTGAGTGTGTCTGAAGGACGTGTTTAGGATAACGACCTTTGGAGTTTTGACCTTGAAACGGTAATGACCTTCAACCCTGATACAGGCTATACAACGGGGTTCGACTCCATAGCCCAGGCCTACAACCTGGTGCAATCAACATTAGTGGCTGGCAGAGGGATCAACACAGACGCCGAAACTGAAAAAGCTAAGGCTCTATTCCTGGTAATGATCCAGTTTCATCATCACCATCACCGCCATCATCATCATTATCATCGTCACCATCATCATCATCATAGGCAGCCTTAAACAACGTAGAAGTTAGCATTGAAAACACTCAAACATTGAAATCGAACGTACAACTCGAGATAAATACGTTGTATGCTAACGTGTCTGAGCAGGCCAAAGCTAAACTTTTGGTTGGTTGGTTGATTGGTTGGTTGGTTGGTTGGTTGATTGATTGGTTGGTTGGTTGGTTGATTGGTTGGTTGGTTGGTTGGTTGGTTGGTTGGTTGGTTGGTTGATTGGTTGGTTGGTTGGTTGATTGATTGGTTGGTTGGTTGGTTGATTGATTGGTTGGTTGGTTGGTTGGTTGATTGATTGATTGATTGATTGATTGGTTGGTTGGTTGGTTGGTTGGTTGGTTGGTTGGTTGGTTGATTGATTGGTTGGTTGGTTGGTTGGTTGGTTGGTTGGTTGATTGGTTAATAAATAATACTAAGGTAAAAGGACGATGTATTTGTATGACTAACATCATTCTCACATTGGAATTGAAAGTTTTTTAGTAATATAATAACGACAACATTATCATAATTTATTCAACCAATGAACTCGATCGACCAATGACATCGCAGAGCTGTTTAAATGACCTCAATCAAGTGACCAATCGTTTGAAAGAGATTTCTACGTTTGGTTTCAATCAGCTGATCGCTAATTCAATTAGACAGAGAATTAAACCATTGATTGATAGTTTCTCGTCCGTCAATCATAACCTAACTGAGGTGTGTGTGTGTGTGTGTTTGTATGTTTGTGTGTTTGTTTGTTTGTTTGCATGTTTGCATTTAGTGCGTTTGTACGCATGACTGTATCATTGTCATCATCATCACTATCATTATCACCATCATCATCATAATCATTACCAACATCATTATCAGGAGGAGTTCTCACAATATGAAGCTAGCGATCCGTGGGTGCAAAATCTCATCTGCAATATTGATAATCTTCTGGTCACGTTTAGGGTAAAGATGATGATGAGGATGATGATGATGATGAGGATGATGATGATGATGGCAGGGTTTTTATTTAAATTTACTCTCAATAAACTATTATTTGTTATTTATTATTTTCATCGTCGTCATCGTCATCATAACCATCATCATCATCGTCGTCATCGTCATCATAACCATCATCATCATCGTCGTCATCGTCATCATAACCATCATCATCATCGTCATCATCGTCATCATAACCATCATCATCATCGTCGTCATCGTCATCATAACCATCATCATCATCGTCATCATCGTCATCATAACCATCATCATCGTCGTCGTCATCGTCATCTCAGACGTCATTGACCCCGTCGAATTACGACCAATTCGTCAGTCATCTGTCCAATGAGGTGACTGCCTTACTTGAAAAAGTCGTCTTGAAAACTACTTTCAATAGAGTAAGTGAATGAATGAATGAATGAACGAGTGAATGAATGAACGAACGATTGAAGGGACGATTTTTTAACATTGTTGTCTTTAATTATACTACTCAAATTTTAAACAATATTATCGTTTGAACGAGGGGTTGCAAACTTTTTGCTGTGAGGGTTAAGGCCGCATAAGCAAATTTTTTCGAACCGAAAAAGAAATTTTTTTAAGATTTGTGGTTTTTTTTTGTTATAATGTCTGACTGGTGGGCGACCTTTTTTTGGCGAACAAAACTTCGCGAGCCGCATGAAAAGCTTCGAGGGCCACATTCGGCCCGCGGGCAGTGGTTTGCCCACCCCTGGTTTAGACTTTCTATTGATAACAAAAATCTTTTTTCTAATTATCATTTAAATCTTTTAGCGTAATTTCTTAAATCTTTTAGTGTATTTTCTCATATATTTTAGTGTAATTTCATAAATCTTTTAGTGTAATTTCTCAAAATCTTTTAAAAATTTTAACTTGTTGCCAGCTCGGCGGCCTACAGTTCGACAAAGAGATTCGCTCTCTGGTTGGTTACCTAACTTCAACTACGACTTGGACCATTAGGGACAAATTCGCGAGGCTCAACCAGATGGCCACCATCTTGAATTTGGAGAAGGTGGCCGAAGTTTTGGACTACTGGGGCGGCAACTCTGGACCCCTTACGTGGAGGTTGACCCCAGCCGATGTTAGGCACGTGCTTTCTTTGAGGTTCGTTAGAGGATATGGATTCATTCATTCCTTCCTTCATTCATTTATTCGTTCGTTTTTTCGTATGTTCTTTAATTGGAAGTGCCCTTTAGTGATTTGTTTGTAATTTTAATTATTGATTGATAAATATAGCGGTATTGTTAATATACTTTTTAATTAATTTTTTCCAGATATGATTTCAAAAGCGACGATATTAAAAGATTGAAATTGTAAGATTTCATGGTTGTGAGAGTTTATTTGATTGTCGTTATATTTGTTTATCAATCGAATTATTTATTTATTTAGTCGTTTTGTTAAAAATTGTTTCATTTATTAATTGTTTATTGAAACTGATCTTGTTAATATTTAATTTAGTTTAGTTAGGGATTATTTTTTGCTCATTTAATTGTAAAAATTTCAACATTTCTTTGCAGTTTTGTTTAATATTTACTTTTGGAAATAAAGTGTGACCAGTTTGTTTATGTTTTTCATCGAGACTCATTGCGTGCCATATAATTAGAATAATGTAAGTGCCGAAAATAAAATTAACGTTGGTAGTAATTCTATACTTTTATGTATATGGTCAATGGTTTCACTTTTAAGGGATTTCCAAAACACCGCACATCTCCAAAAACAATTTACCATCTTCCTGCCATTTTAAAATATTTCATTATTCTTATCCAGTTTTATTTAATTTTCCGCCCGAAAAAACGACCCAAACACAATTTGAAATGAGCATTCCCTATCTAGGCAGCAAAATCAGTTTGATATCGAAAGCTGAAATTAGGTACGAAGGGATTTTGTACTCCATTGACGCCAATGAGTCCACCGTTGCCCTAGCTAAAGGTTTTTTCTATTTCAAATTTATAATTTTTTTATTTTCATTTGCTTCATAAATTTGCATTTCATTCAATTGTTCTTTAAATGTGTTTCGAATTCTCGCCAGTCAGTTTGTCTAGAATTAGTGATTAGTGGATGGCTCATTCAATCTTTTCTTAGAAGAAAATTTCAAAATATTACTGAAATATCCATGCATGACTAATTTAATTAATTATGAAGAGAAATTGATATTGTTAAAAAAGAACATAGGCATTATAAAATATTAGTAACTAAATATAAAACTAAAAAACAGTTAGATCATTTGGAACGGAAGACCGACCAACCGATAGGCCAGTGCCTCCAAGAGATGAGATCTTTGAGTATATCATATTCAGGGGTCGTGACATCAAGGATCTCCATGTTTGTGCACCTCCACAACCCATGGCTACTGATCCTGCTATCATTCAAGTATTAACAAGTTACAATTTTAGTACTTATGTAATATACTTATTGTAATCTTATATTTTTACTATTTCTATAATTGTAATTATATATAATTTGAGTATGGATAAAGTTATATTTGTTAATTTTTTCTATGGTGATAATAATAATGATACATTTGTAAAAGAAAAGATGTGTTATTGTTAGTTATCCAATTTTTTTAGTATTTGAAAAAAATCTTCAATAATGTCTTTATATATTTTTTCCATGATTATTATTTACTAATTATTTTTTAATAACTTAGTTGTTTTTTTAATTGCGATGGTTTGATATATTACTTATTCTGCCCCAACTTAACAGTCATCGGAGATCTTGGACAACAGTGGCAATAGCAGTCTGAGTCCCGGGGCAGGTGAGAATTATGCTTCCCCTAGCCAATCGCTGGACCACCTGCAACAACAACCACAGATGGCGATGCAACATAGAATACCATCTCCGTGTCTCATCTCTCCTCAAAAGCCTCAGGCTCCTCCCACACAAGCTGTCAATCAACAGGAGGATGTGCAGACCTCTAATAGAGGTTTTAATGTTCAGAATGTTGGTGCTGTTCAAAATGTTAAGTTGTCACCAGGTGATTTGTTTTGATCAATTTTTCAGAATTGTTTTTTTTTGTGGGTTTTTGTATTTTTTTTTTCTTTGTTTTGTTTCAAATTTTGTTACACCAACCAAACACTATATCAAATGAAATTATATTTTAAAAATGACAGAGCAAAAATTATTTTATTCCATGCACACATTCTAGGCAGGCCACCAGCTGATGGGGCATCATTCATGCCTCGCATGCCCCCAAGCCAACAACATCAGCAGCTGCAACATCATCAGCAGCAACAACAACAACAAATGAACACTAACAGCTACACTAACTACAATGAAAACGACAGACAACACTCCCAGCAGCCACAACAACAAAAACAAAATGTTTATTCCCACTCTAATAGAGATATGCAGCATGAAAATATGCAACCAAGGAGTTACCCTGAGAAAGACTTTTATCCTCAGTCGGGTAACCATGGAAGAGGGGGAGGGGTCCACCAGGGTCGTGAGGTATTTTATGGAAGCAGCAACTCTGCATCCACGGATAGTGATGGTTATGGAAGAGGTGGAAGACCTATGTATCAACAGCATCACCAGCAACAACCACAATATCATCATTATTACAACAGCCAACAGCAGCAGCATCCGGCACCGCCACATCATCAACAACATTTTCATCCACCTCACCATCATCAGCCTCCTACTAGTTAGTAGTGGTGTTTTTCATTAGATTAGTTTGACTGATTAAAGGGTGAGAGAGAGAGAGAAAGAGAGAGAGAGAGAGAGAGAGAGAGAGAGAGCGTTGTCATTACTCATATATATTTTATTTTTTCATTGTTGTTATTGATTAGTATTTTCTATTGGCAGGCAGGACAGCTTCTTATATCTCTCTCTATTAAATTCTTTGCCATGCACAGAGATAATAATATTTTTTCATTTCAACATCATCATTAGCGTTGCTGTTACAACACATTGCATGTTATAGGGTTAGGGGTCTCTTTGCATTCGAACAACCCAGCAGCTGCTGCTCCAGCCAGTTGAGTGTAGCATCTTACCAATCATCCCATCACTAATAAATTAATTCACCGACGTTATCTTAAAAAAAACAGGTTACAGAGGAGGACCGTCTAGTTATAGTTCAAACTTCAGAGGAAGATCCAGGGGTTTCCGACCGAGTAGAGGAACCCCGGCAGGAGGGGGTGTGGGAGGCCCTGGAGAAGATATAGCAGGTCAGAGATTGACCTTTGACCAGGAGTTCGATTTTGAAAGTGCCAATGCCCAGTTTGATAAGGAGCAGATTGAGAAAGAGTTGAAGGAGAAGCTGTCTCTTGGTCGGTTGGTTGGATGGTTGGTTGGTGGGTTGGTTGATTTGTTTTTTGGCTGGTTGGTTGTTTGCACAGTTAGTTGGTTGGTTTATTTTGTTTTTATTCATGGTGGTCTTTACAAGTTTTGTTATTTTTATGTGATCTCCGTAAATCAGCACAGTTTGTTTTTTTTTTCATTTTGGGTTTTAAATAGATAGAATTTTGAATTTGTTCATTACCATCATCTTTTTCTCTGATTTTAATTCCCAGATGACAAATCATCATCGAGTGAGCACCACCACAGCAGCCATCACCAACAGCAGCAGCCACAACATCGCCACATTTCAAACGACGCCAGCGACAAACGACAACAACCACATGGTGACCACCGCAGCAGTGAAAACGATAATGAAGACAATGATGATAACGACGAAGGAGATGGTGATGACGATGAATGTGAACCTCCTGTCGTTTACTATGATAAATCAAAGTCATTCTTTGACAAGCTAAGTACCGATTCGGCTGATAAAAATAAAAGGTTGATGTTTGTATCTCTCTGTAATGGGTACTAATGCGTGGAAATGGCTAATTTCAGATTGGAATGACTGGAATTCATGTATACATTTATGACCTTGCTAATATTCTTGAATAAATTAATCTAATTATTCATGCAATTGCAGAAACAATTGGAAAGATGAGAGGAAATTGAATTGTGAAACGTTTGGCCTCGTAAATAACGCCAACAACATAGGTGGCAGTTCGGCTGGGAGTATGATGAGGGGAGGAGGTGGTTTTTACAACAGCCGTGGTTACAATAATAGGTTGGTTAATTGGGTTGATTTCGTGTGTGTGTGTTGTGTGTGTGTGTGTGGCGTTAACAGTCCTGGTATGAATGTACGAGTGGGTGCTTGTATATTGTGCTCTGATTTTTTACCTCCCATGCTATGTTAACATGCAATTCAATTGGTGGTTATTGCTAAAATAGCATGCAACTCAATTCGTTTCTGCTGTTGTGACTTTGTGTATGTTCATGTTTGTATGTGTGCGTTTTTGTTTGTGTGTTTGTTTGTATTTGTGTGCGAGTGAGTATGTTTGTGTATATACTTTATATGTAGGTCGAGATACAACAGTTATTACTCTGGAGCACCTCGAAGACCAGGCGGTTACAGAGGCTCTAGGGGGAGAGGTTATTCGTTGTTGATGATGATGATGATGATCTAGGTGGTTGTGATGACGATGATGATTTTGATTATGATGATTAGCTAGATCTATTTATGAAAGATTATATGTTTTTTTTTAATTTCGTTTCACCGTTATTTAATTATGTATATATTTATTTCAGATGATGGCTTCTATGGCAACAGAGGTGGTGGGCGTGGTAACAGCCGGCCACCGACCAATCAAATGCCACCAGGCGTATCTCAAGCATCTTAGTTTGGAAATTCTCAATTCTGATTGGATGATATCTTTAGAACGTGTTTGGGTGGAAGAATTTATGTAAATTATCAGTGTATGTTATAACCAATTGAGTCATAATCACCCTTGCTTTTGATTGGTTGATGATTGTTCCTGTATTCTGATTGGGCCATCTATCATTTTGCATGCCATAGGGCAATGGTTTGTATTGCAAATGTGTCAGGAGTTGTGGTTGGGTTTGTAGTGCGTGAGAAGAGATATATGTTAATTAATTATTTAACGTGAATTAATTAGTTAATCAATAAAAAATGTTTGCTTATGTGTTTGTTGTTTCTGTTTTGTGTGAATACAGGTTAAGATGGCTATTATAATGATGGGAAAAGGTTGATGGTAAGTACGTCTAATTATGCTACTAACATAACAGTTTTTAGTTTCATTATTTTTCTTATTATTATAGTTAATATAAAAGAATCTGAAAACATTTATTTATTATTCATAATCCGACAATATATCAGTTCGTTCATTTTTTTTTCATTCGTTCGTTCAATGTATCTCAGAGTATGTGTAAGTTTGTGTGTGTGTGTGTGTGTGTGTGTGTGTGTGAGAGAGAGATAAAAGGTGTAAAGATAAAAGAACAATAGATAACACACATACATCATATCTACAACTACATGCATACTCGCCTGGAAGTTTATGAACCAAAAGACTATTTGATTGAAGACTTCTACTGAACTCTCGATTCGTTCGATTTTGTACATACATACACAGACACACATACATACGCGTACATACGTACATACATACGTATAAGCACACACATGCAACAAACAGATCATCAGTACAGTAGAGTGAGTGTTAATCTTTTGGTTTCATTTTTCTTTTTTATCACAGCTCCTCTTGTAACATTGTGCCGTTATTATGATGTAAAAATTTTATATTATAATTGTTTATTATTGTTGTTTATTTTTATTGTTGTTTATTTTTATTGTTGTTTATTTTTATTGTTGTTTATTATTATTATTATTGTTTATTATTATTATAAATATATTATTTAAAATTACATTTGAAATGACATAGCCAGCATCATCGTATGACTCATGACGTAGCCAGCGTTTTTAACATCATCCTTATCATCAAATATTTTTATCACTTATTATTATTATTATTGGCATTATTAATATTATTTGCATCATAATTATTACTATTATTATCGACTTTATTACAGTTATAATTTTGTAAAATATAATTATCTCCATATTTGGCGTGTTTGCCCAATGTTACCAACCAGCTCTTCTCCAATGCATAATGTTACGTTATTGTTATTATTATTATCATCACCGGAACTGCTGTTATTATTATTTTTAATTATAATTAAAAATTATTTATAATTATTATTATTTTATGTTGTTCAACATTAGGCTATTAAGATACTTTATATGAGTGGTGAATATGGACGGCAGTACGTACAGATGAAAACTCTATTGCCAATAGAGCAAGAATAATTTAGACGATGATGTACACATGTATATTTTATTTTAATATTGACTGATGCATTTTCTTATTTATGTAATATAAAAAATATTTATACACACACATAGATATATATATATATATATATATATATATACATACTCATATATATATATATTGGAAGGAGGCCATATTTTATACAGTATTGTATGATATATTAATATATAATATGCGAATAATGCATGTGTTGGGTACGAGCAGGCAAAGAATCAATGAATTTAAATTTTCAATCTCATTAGTTTATTTGCTTTGGAAAGTTTAACAATATTTTAAATTTCTATTTATAATACTATATTATACTGATGTATAATAATACTATATTATATTAATATTATAATGTAATAATATATAATAATAATATTACTGTATGATTAGTGGGACGAACTGTTTGAATGGACTTTGTTTGATTTACTGATGCGTTGGTTGGTTGAATGATTGATTGGTTGGTATGATTGAATAATAGGTTGGTTGGTTGATTGAATGATTGGTTTTGGTTTGACTGAATGGTTGGTTTACCCATAAAAATTTATCTATTTATAATAATTTTATTTACAATTGGACAAAAACATTGGACAATACAAAATTAATTATTTTATTTTGCGTTCATAATTACCAATAAGTTGAAAAATGAAGATAATGGAAAAATCATCATTTAAAAACAGAATCACGCTGTAGTGTATATATATATGTATGTATATATATATGGCTATGTATTATTGGTATATGAATTTCTGTGTACACCTATGTATGCTCAGCATTAGTATAAAATATGTATGTTTTTGGCATATGTATATATATATATAATATATATATTTATGTATATATATATATGCATATATATATGTATATTGTATTAATACCGTCAGAAATGTCACAAATTAGTTAACTAACGCAGAACATGCTTTGATTTTCATCAATAGTTGAAGATTTATATATATATATATAAATCTATATATATATATATATATATACATATATAGTGTAACGTGTATAAATGTACATACGTATATAACACATATTTAATGTATTTCACTAATTGATAATAGTCTATTTATTTGGTTAGTAATGGCAGTTGAAGTAAAATCATATTCTAGACACACGCACACACACACACGCTCATCCATACATACGCATGTATATATATATATGTATATATAACTTGCATTCATATAATTATTTTACTATAATTTAGTAATTTAATAACGAAAGTAACATCTGCGTCGTTGAGTTAAATGCGTTTGATTAATGTAGCGGCATAAAATTGTGTAAACGTGTGTGTGTCTGTGAATACATAATGTTCAGGTATATATGTATATTAATACTTTGATATTTTGACAGGGATGTGATAGAAGAAAGTGCTGTAAAAATGGAAAATTAAGGAGACAATTGGCGCTTATAACAAAACTGGTGATGAACATAAACAAGAGATGTTTAAATAAATTAATATCAAGATTATAAAATCCAAAAAAAATTGAAGAAAAGGAAAAATACACTGATCACGTCACGTAAGAAAACAACGAGGAAGCAAATTTGAAGGTTGATGTAAGTTATTTCAAACTTTTTCACCGTACTAAAAAACAATTTTACCAATAATTAATATATCATCTTCACCTCCACCATCATCATTATTATTTTTAACTTTTATTAAAGTCATAAACGTGTTTTTTGGGAATGGAAATATTAGGAATGTTGAGTGAACATCTCAGGCTGTTTTCATTGCACCGAATGAATATGTTAGTAAGTCCTTTTCCAAGTGCATCTTCTTCATCATTTGACGATTCATATACATCGTTGGAGTGAATTTTTGAGAAACTTGGGATTTTCTCTAATTGAGCCAAAGTGCAAGAACGAGGTCTTTGAATAAATTTGCATAAATTATCTTTTTGGTTTAAATCGCCATTATTTTCATCGGCATTATCTCCATCTTTATTATTATTTTTAATTTGAAAATTATTATTTTTATCTTTAGATTTTGATCTCTTTGTCTTTGAAACCATTGAATAACCATGCCTTAAGATGGATTTTTTCTTTTTCACTTGTTTCTCTTGAGACAGAGATTTTGAATAAGTGCTCAAGAATGGATTGGAGGCCAGCGATAATGGTTTTAATATGATGCCCAGTGTATCATCGTTGACATTTTTTGCTGTTGGTTTTGTCAAAACTTTGTCATCTATATTTGAGGATGAGTTGGAGTTGGAACCTGAAGATGTTGTGGTCTTATCTTTAGAAGTTTTTTTGGCCTTGTTTTTGTTATTTTTAGAATTTTTATTAAAAGATTGTTTGAGAATTTGTAATTCTTCATTTGTGACAACCTGCTGTTGATCAATGCTTTTTCTCTTTGGTTGTTTTTTCTTCTTCTTACGATTAGTGAAGTCAATTCTTTCAGCTGAGTTACTCCGGAATGGATTGGAGGCCGATGAAGATGGCATAAGAAGTGATAGGTTGTTAGGTTGCTGCCTGTGCTGTAGTTGGTGGTTGATGTCATAGAAGCTGTCATGGTAGTTGTGGCTGTAGTGTTTGTAAGTTACACCATCACTGGACTGTTTTTTAACTCTGTTTCGTTTCTTCTTCTTACTATCAAAATGTTTTAAATCAAAATTGAAGAGATTATTTTTTTTGGTACTATCTGCAGGAGACATTGATGGAAAGTTTGCATCAGGTAAGACATCTGGTGACAATAGATTATACAAATCTCCATTTTCTGAATGCATTAACAAATTGGCCAGGCTGTAACTCTTTCGAACTTGCTCCAGGGCACCTCCTGATCTGAGAGATTCATCTCTTAGCACAGATTTCTTCATCTGGTCCAACGATCGATCTCGAGGAGTTTTCAATTTATCTACACTTTGAAATCTTTTTTCATACCTTTTGGGCAGACCATTAAATGATTTCCCAATCCTCCTATGGAAGATGGCGTTTTTTGGTGTGTGATGGATTTCATCTTGAGATGTCCTTAGCAATATTTCCTTCTTTAAACTTTCATATTGCTCCTGAAGAGTACTGTAGGAAGCACACTGAAGAACGTCGATCCATTCAACACACTGATCGGTATCTACCCCACAGAAGTAATGACGTTCGTTGGAAATGTTGAACAAGATGGAAAAAACGAACGGTGCATTTGGTAGGAAATCCATTTTGACGGTGCAGGAGGCCAACACTAACACGCCCAGTGGTTCATCATCTCCAATATTACCAAACTCATTAGTTCGGTAGTAGTAAAGTAAGTTGGATTTTAATTTGAACCATCTAGATTTGAACGATTTTTTCAGATTTTTTCTGTGGAACAGTCTGCCTTCTTTCATGAATGGGCCCACAGAAGCCAGAGCTTTGATGATATTCTCGTTCGCAAATTTCATTTACTTTTTATAATTTTCAAGCCAAATTATTATTTTAAACAATAAACATTTTTAAAAACTTATAAATTAAAAACGATTTTGTCAAAATTTGGATTTAAAAACGCCAGATTCGTGCTTCTATTTGCCACTTTATTTACTGCGCATAAATTAATTTTTAAACGGTCAAGAAAAAAAAATGGGTGGTGAATTGGCTCCAATAATTTAGTTTGGACCAATTCCACACATCTCTACTGGCTTGAGTTTTAACAAACAATCTATATAAAATATTTACTTGACTTATTAATGTTTAAAACAATGTACTTAAATTGAATTATGTATTTTAAAATTATTTTTGTTAATTTGAGTATAAATATTTTTTTTGTCCTGTGAAATAGTGGTTTACTGAAGGTATTATAAGTATGTATATATGTTGAAGCCCTATGCTGGCTTACTAGGAAAGAGCTATAATCAATCAATTAATTAATCAATTAATTTAAAGTTATAATACATTTATGATGTTATATTTACACATTCAAATTGTACAATTGTGTTATTTTGTAGTCTTAAATTACTTTGAGTTATCTCAGAATGCGTGTCAGATGATGATCGATCCGTAGTGAGTGGGGAAGTTTCTGGAGGATACAAACGCGCACATTTACACACACACACACACACACATACATCAAAACAACACACACATACACAACATCCATTCATTCGGTGTCGTTGTTATGTTTCTCTTCAACTTTCTATTTTCTTTACCGGACTTAATTTAATTCATAGGTAAGTTAGGGATTGTGATGAGTTGAACAATCGAAGGTAGGCCAGGGCTTAACATTAGTTAAAAAGTTACAAGTAAAATAAAAACGCTAAAATATGTTAAATAAAATAACTGAAACATGTAAAATTTTTAAAACGTAGAAAGACAAATTTGTAGGTAGGTGAGACGAGTTAATCCTTATAGGTAAGCTAAAGCCCTGAGAGTAATTTAGTTGTAGGTAGGTGACTGACTACTATTCTTGTGACTTTACCATGATTGTGACCTGAACATCACATAAAACTTATGAAATAGGATGGGAAATCTATTACGAAATCTTTCGAGGATATGACGTTAGCAGCAGTTATTTAACTGCACGGTTGTTGTGAATTAGCCGGTATAAAGGTCACATTAAATTCCTAACAAATAAATTTTACCAAACATAACAAAATAACACAAAACTAAATAATGAAATAGATAGATATAGTGGATGCAACACCAGAACGCAAATTGTGTGGTGTAAGGTGTGATCTCAAATTATTTTGAATTCTCGCAGAGAAGTGTGTAAGTACTACTTGCGTACATACGTGCGTAAAAATAATTCATACCGTTGTTTTATAAGGATGGATTTATATAATAAATATCAAAAAGTATTTCAATACATACCTACATGATGATTGATCATGGACTAAGAAACAAAGTATCAATGGAAGGACCGACCTTGACATTTAAAAAACTTTTTAATTTCATTTCAATTGCGATGTCGATGAAGATGATGATGATTGTGACCTGTAATTATCAAAACACATAAAAAAATTGTTCAACTTTTTTATTTAAACACTGCAATACGAGAATGATTATGATCGATCGATTGAATGATTAAATGATTAATTGATTGATTAATTGATTGATTGATTGATCTCATAGCATTGTATATATGCAAAAAGAGTGACTATAGTTCAATCCTAGTAAGCCAACATATGGCTTCAGTAAGCCATTGTATTTCCGCGGATGAAAAGCAATTTTTATATTTAAATTAACAAAAATAATTTAATAATACATAATTCTATTTAATAAAATTAAATAAAATTACTTCAATGTTTTAAACATATTAAGTCAAGTAATTATTCCATATAGCTTGCCCGTTAAAACCCATGCAATTTCGTAAGTAAAAGCCAATGAGCCAACAAACCAAGCAAGTCCATTTATTTAATGATTTATTTGTCATTGTTAGATACAAGTTCACTTTTAGACTAATGCATGTGTATATTTTTTGATCAAACTTAGTTATATATTATTATTAATACAATTTTTTATTTTATTTTTAAAATTTAATAAATAAGATGAGTTCCAACAAATTCAGTGGGGCCGTTCAGTTGGCTGATTTGGATGATTACATAGCACCATCACAAGTCAATCCTCCAGTTTAATTTTCTTAAATTTAAAATTTTAAATAATATGAAATTAAAATAAAAGTAATAATATTTATTTTTCATATTGATTATTGATGTTAAATTAAATAAAATATAAATTAGATATTATTATCAATCTTAATTATGAATTATAGATATAATAATATTAATATAATATTTTTATTGTTTTGTTTTAATTAAAAAACATATAATATTATAATTGAACATATAATTATAATATAAGATTGTAATGTGAGTAGGTTGGTAGGCGTGTATGTAGTATGTATGATTGTATACAATGCATGTACATTGTACTTTGTGTCTTATCTGTACTGCATTGTATGTAAATATGAACATAGCACAACATTGTATTGTGTGTGTGTGTGAGAGAGAGAGAGTGAGAGAGTGTGGATGTCTGTATCTATCTGCAACTGTGTATACATCTATTTATTTATCTCTATATAAATTATTATGAGCATGTATGTGTGATATACATTTTATGTTGTATGTTTTTTAATTTATTCATGAATATTAATGATATAACTAATAATATAATAATGATAGTTTAATTATATTATAATACAGTATTTTTTCAAAATTATTAATTAAATTAGGAGTGTATCAAGCCTATTGAAGTTGCCAAAAGCGGTAAAGTGAAGTTAATTCAGTATGATTCTGATACCAAAGAACCATATCAACTGACAGAAGAAAGTTTATTATATTATTTTTATAATAATTAATATTTCTTACCATAATAAATAACCATAATTTATAATTATAATTATTATTATTGTTATAATTATTATAGGATGATAAATATGAAAGACTAGAGAAAGCCAATATAACTTTGAATGATTGCCTGGCTTGCAGTGGCTGTGTCACTAGTGCTGAAACTGTACTTATATCTCAGCAGAGTCTAGAGGAAGTTTATAAGGCACTTCAAGTGAGATTAATTATAACATAATTATTAATTATAATATAATTATTAATTATGACTATAATTATTAATCATGGTATGGCAATTTTGATTTAATTAATTATTGAGAGGAGTAATGCTAATGATGATAATAGCTGAGTTTAAAAGAAATTTGGTATGATGATGATGATTAAGATAATATAATTATATTATAATTATATTATAATAATAATAATATTTTCAGAATGGTGATAAAAAATTGTATGCAGTTAGCATAGCACCCCAATCTGTGGCATCGCTTGCTGTTAAGTTTGGTCTTTCTGTTGAGAAGACCTTCAGGAAGTTGACGACGATTTTTAAGAAATTAGGTCGTTGTTGTGTTTGTCTGTGTGCATGCGTGTGTGTGTGTTACGGTGCGTGTTTGTATTTGTGTTATTGTATGTGTTTGTGTGTGTGTTTATGTGCAAGTGTTCATTTGTTTGAATGAATGGACTCATTCATTCATTCATTCATGTATTCATTCATTCATTCATTCATTCATTCATTCATTCATTCATTCATTCATTCACGCATTCATTCATTCATTCATTCACTCATTGATTGATAAGGTTTCAACATAATCATGGACACTTCACTGGGAAGGGAATTGAGCCTGATTGAAAGTGCTAAGGAGTTTGTTATGAGGTATAAACTACGACAACAACAACAACAACGACAAGACTACCAACAACAACAAGATGGTGCAACTAACAGCCACACAGCGCCAACAGGTTTACCGATGTTGGCCTCTGCCTGTCCAGGTTGGGTTTGTTACGCCGAGAAAACTCTAACTGAATCCATTCTTTCCCTAATTTGTACTGTCAAGTCGGCTCAGCAACTCATGGCCGTCATTATAAAAGTGTACATCGCTAAAAAATTAGGTCACGTGGTTGATGATGATGATGATGATAGTTTTTATCAGCAGTATAATTATTGTTCTTTATAATTATTTGTGATCATTTTGTTTCAATTCTCGTCTTTAGCAATGAACTACGACCTGACGAATTGTATGAAGAGTCGTTAAAATATCAGCTGTGATGAGAACAACAATCTTTTATTCAGCTATGAAACAATGAAAAGGACAATAAAATAAAAACAAATTGACAAGTTCAATAAAATGAAAGTAAAAAATAAAGTAAAATAAAATATTAGGTAGAGTATTAATTTAGTCTACGAAGCTCTTCATCCAAAGAGAACGAGTATGGCTAGAGTTAATAAGTTACAGAATTGATTTTCTATCGCAGTGAATAGCGTAGGACGACGGTGTTGCAGATTTTAATGAGGCTATTGCAGAAACAGTCAGACCAAATAATGTTTACAAGAGATAAATTAAATATTTTAAATGAACCTAGAGTTGAAATTTCGAATGTTTTTATTTTTAAATGTTTAAAGTCGTCCATCAAGTTTTTTTGCAAGTTACCAGAGTATTTAGATAGTTTATATTCTTTAGAATTTAAAAAGTTAGTCTCGCAACTGACAGACTGTCAGTTGCAGTATTTCAATTGTTTCGTTTCTTAGAACTGCGATATCTGGTCGCACTGACTTGAATAAGCGAGGTAGTAGTTGAAGTTCATCTGTCTCTAGATCGGCAAAAAGGCAGACTTCTGGGTCGGCGCAGCATAATTTCATTTTTTCCAGAATTATCGCTAGAATTTTGTTGTATCTTTTTGTATACCTCTTTGACGACGATGTTGAGCTGCAGTTGTAGAGTACGTGCTTGTTAGTTTTTTGGTTGCTGCATAGTGGGCACTGGGCAGTGGAAGACTCTCCCCAAATAATAATAACAATAATAATAAAGGTGATTATCACGATCAGGTCTTCATCCATCCATGATTTACCATCTCGCCGTTGCGCCCTGCTATGATAAGAAGTTGGAAGCCAGTAGGAAGGAGTTTCAGATGGGTGCTGATGACGTCACGGGCGTTGATTGCGTCATATCTACTGGTTACTATTATTTATTATTATTATTTGTTATTGTTATAATAGTAATAATAATTATAATCATAATTTACGAGCAGTCGAATTGCTGGAGGCGATAGAGAGAGAGGGTACATCATTTTTAGATATTCTAGAGGATTATTCTTGCAACTACTGGCAAGTAAATAATTACGATGATAATAATTATATTAATTACGATGATAATAATTATAATTATTACGATGATAATAATTATAATTATTACGATGATAATAATTATAATTATTACGATGATAATAATTATAATTATTATGAGGATATTTATTATCATAATCATTAAATTATAGTCCGGGAATATTTGAGAGTGACATCACAAACTTATGGTCCAACGAACTCAGTGAAAGTGATGGCTACTTAGCGTTCATCGCTAGATACGCGGCCAAAGAGTTACTGGATGTTTCCGTCAAGGAATTAGACTTCAAAGTTTTGAAGTGATTATTATTACTGTTGTTGTTGTTGTTGTTGATATTGTTGTTGTTATTGTTGATAATATTGTTGTTGTTGTTGTTATTGTTGTTGTTGCTGTTGTCAACATTGTTGTTGTTATTGTTGTTGTTGCTGTTATCAACATTGTTGTTGTTATTGATAATTTTTCTATTTCTCAATGTTCAAGGAACGCTGACATGCAAGAAGTTATCATAGACAAAAACAACAACAACAATAACAACAACAATAATAATAATAATAGAGATAATGATAAACAGACACCGGCGTTAAAATTCGCAACTGCTTACGGATTCCGCAACATTCAGAACGTCGTCCAGAAACTGAAGAGGAAACTAAACAAGAATAATAATAATAATAATATTAATAATAATAATAATAATATTAATAATAAGCGGATGGTGATGGAACGTGGTGGTTATGATTATGATTTCGTTGAAATTATGGCTTGTCCTTCAGGTTTATTATTATTATTAATATTATTATTTATTATTAATATTATTCATATTGTTGTTGTTGTTGTTATTGCTATCTGGCATTTCGTTTTTATCATCATCATTTGTCTTTAGTTTGATAATTCATCGTACACTCTTTCTTGCGTTAATTCATTTACTCATTCATTCATTCGTTCATTCATTCGTTCATTTATTCATTCGTTCGTTCGTTCATCCGTTCGTTCGTTCATGGATACTTACATTTATACAATCATCTATCCATCCATCCATCCATCCATCCATCCATCCATCCATCCATCCATCCATCCATCCATCCATTTTTAACACAGGTTGTATAAACGGTGGTGGTCAAATAAAACTTCAGACAGGCCAGTCATCGAAAGAACAAATCGCCAAGGTCAAGGACGTTTTCAATAGCGTTGCTAAGCTACCAGCGGCTAGCTGCTCAGCTCTTCGGGAGCCAGCTGTTAGCTGCCACCCCGCTGTTCAACAGCTCTATTCGGATTGGCTGGATGATTTAGGGCAGGATGAATTTGATTGGCTGATTAGGACTAGTTATAAAGTTGTACCTAAAATGAGCTCTGGGTTATTTACTAAGTGGTGATTGGTTGGTTGATTGGTTGGTTGATTGGTTGGCTAGCTGGTAGATTTCATTGATTATTCAATCAATTTTGTATAAATTAAAATAAAACATTCCTAGGAAAGGAAATGAAACAATTGTAGCAGAAGTTTTTGTTGTTTTTATTCATTAAATTAATAAAATCAAACTCGCTTGTGGTGGAATAAAACTATTTAATGATAACAAAATGGTATATATATGTGCGTGCGTGCGTGCGTGCGTGTGTGTGTTAATGGATGAAATTCGATTCTATTTGGTCATTAAAATCTCGTTAAGGAACGCATCGTGTTGATAACCGACGTCACATGTTCGGTTATATTCTTTTACTTCCTCATTCGTTCGTTCTTTCATTTATCTGATCTTTTTTTTATTGTGATCCATTCATCATTTTGTTATTTTCTTTATATCACTTGGTTAGTCACACCCTCGTTGTGACCATTTCTTCGTTGTTAATGTGTTGCACTGAGGAATGATTAAGGCCATTCATTCATTCATTCGCTCATTCATTCATTCATTCATTCAACCATTCATTCAATCGATCTTTCATTCATTCACTCATTCATTCATTTATTCATTAGTTTGTAATATTGGTTTGTTTGTCCATTCGTTTAATCATTCATTCATTCCTTCGCTCACTTGAAAATGAATTTACGGTTTTATATTTTATTTATTTTTCCAAATTAAAACCAACAAGAACAACAATAATGATTAATGTTATTTTTTTAATTTTTCTTACTTCTGCTACTGACACATTGTTTTCTGATAGATGTGTCGGAATTAAGCATCCTATCATCAATCATCCAGTTCTATCTATTTCCAATTTTGCGACTCTTTTTGTACTCTCTTTCTCTCTCTCTCTCTCTCTCTCTCTTTCTCTCTCCTCTTTCTTCCACACACACATATGTACGTCTGTGTACGTGTGAAGTTGTGCGTGCGTGAATGCGATTCAATTACGGAGTTAGCGAACAATGTATTTGTTTTCTTATTGATAAACTGGCCGTCTGAACAAACAAACATTACACGCACACACACACACACACACACACACGCACATACATACATACATAATACATACACACACATACATACGCGCGGATTATACATAAACATGTATATAAATATACTGATACATACATATACGTACATCTACATATATGTTGTAATGTGTGTTTGTGTGTGTGTGTGTGTGTGTTTTGGCAATCATTAAACATGTGTTTATTCATCATTTGTTTGCAGTTGTTTAAGCTCACGTGTTTAATAGTTTAAGAAGGCATATGTGTGTGTGTCTCTGTGTTTCAGTATATGTTTGTGTTTGTGTATGCATGTGTCTATTTGATAACAATAATGTTTAGTTATTTGTATTATTTTATTTTCATATTATAAATACATTTTTAAATTTTTTCTAGGACCTTTTCTTACATGAAATAGCGAAGTCAGACTCAATTTATGTCTGTGTGTATGTTTGTGTGTGTGTTGGTTTTGGTTCATTAGGTTTTCTTTTGTGGAGTCAGATGAAGAGAAGTTGTAGAAGTAGTAAATTGTGGTTGGCGTATTCTTAGTAATAGTACTAACATTACTTTCGCTACTACTACTACTGTTGGTTGTAGTAAGAGTAGTAGTAGTAGTAGCAGCAGCAGTAGTAGTAGTTTTAGTTGTTATTGTAGTAGTATTTCAAACGATGCTTACATAGATGGAGGAGAAAGAAGTAGTCGTGTTATTTCGATTTAACATGTGTCTTTGAAGAGATGTATGTTTGTGTGTGTATTTTGTAGGTTTGTATGTGTGCGTGTGTTTGGATGTGTATGTTTGTTTGCGTGTGTGTGTGTGTGTGTGTGTGTGTGTAGATGAAAATAATATATGCACCGAAATTTGGGAAGCGTGATTTAATTTTATTTATTAGAAGCCTCGTTCATTGGTCCGTTCGGTTTAGTCGTTCATTCATTTCGATTTAAACATTTATTCTTTCATTCATTAATCTTTTCATTAATTAATTAATTAATACACTCTTTGTTATTTCGTTAGTTTATTCGTTCGTTCATTCGTTCAATCACTCGTTCGTTCATTCATCCATAAAATGTAAAAAAGTCCAAATTTAGTGCGCATGCGTGTGCGTCTTTCGCGCCAACAGAAGATCGTAAATAAGAAAAGAGCTGGTGTGTGGTGTGTGACGACGTGTGGAAGAAGATGGTGATGGTGATGATGGTGAGAAGAGGAATGAATGAATGAATGAATGAATGAAGGAATGAAGGAATGAATGATGATGGAATGAATGATTGAATGATGAATGAATGAAATGAATGAACGAATGAATGAATGACAAAAAATGAATTAACGAACGAGTGAAAGTAAAACTAATTGAAATAAAAAAATAGAGAAAAATTTTAAAAAGTAATTTTATGCCTCCGTAATGGGACATTACGGGCGATAGTCATTATGGTGCTGATAATGATGAGGGTAATAATAATAATAAAAATAATAATAATAATAATAATGATGATGATGATATTATGATGTGACAAAAATTGTGATAGTGTGACTTATAATGGGCGAAAAAAATGAGTTTAATGTTTGTGATAACAATGATGATGATGATGATGAAGATGGTGGGGGTGATGGTGATGATGATGGTAGTGGTGATGATGATGGTGGTGGTGATGATGATGGTGGTGGTGATGATGATGGTGGTGGTGATGATGATGGTAGTGGTGGTGATGATGATGAAATCATTCTTCCAGGACGTACAAAGCGAAAGAAAATATTAATCCATTCCTTTGTGTCGTCCGTTATTTCATTCCATCTTTGAATATGACAATTTTTTTATCAACGAACGATCGCATGAATGAATGAATGAATGAATAAATAAATAAATAAAGGAAGGAAAAATGAATGAATAGATAGACGAATAAATGATTGAATGAATAAACGAATGAAAAAAACAAACGAATGAATGATTGATTGATTGGATGAACAGATAAATGAATAGATGAATGAACGTACGAACGATTAACAGATAAATGAACCAACAAACGAACGAACGAGCAAGCGAATGAATGAATGAATGAACGAATGAATAAATGAACGCACGAACGAACAAATGAATGAATGAATGAACCTAAATATTTCTATAGTTTGGCTACGAAGTTCCTCTCAATGAAGAATTTTTCTTGTAACCAAGTTGTGCGTCACACTGATAAGAACAGTGATGATGATGTTCAAAATATTAATAATAATAATAATAATAATAATAATAATAATAATAACAATAAATAATAATAATAAATAATAATAATGAATTAAAAATATTAATAAAAATGAATAATAAAAATTATTATGGTGTATACCATAGCCCTCAGACACACCTTATCACAAACTTATTTCATAAATTTCTTCGTCCATACACATTATTTAAAACAGTTTTTCATTCTCAAATACATAAACATACATACAAACAAACATTCATAAAAACATTCATACAAACATACACACAAACATACATTCATACAAGCATATACACACAGATAGATACAAACAAACATACATACAAACATACACGCATACGTACAAACAAAAATACAAACATACAAATGGACATCCAAGAAAGCCAATAAACATCCATTTTTACAAACAAAAACAATTTCTGAAATGTTTTTTACATAATTTTTAACGGAAATACTTAAAAAAAACTGTCATCGTCATCATTATCATCATTATGAATCAAATGTGCATGTGCTTGTGTATGTGCATGTATGTATGTATTTATGGATGTGTGTGTGTGTTTGTATGTGTTTGTATGTATGGATCTATGTGTGTGTGCGTGCAAGCCAACATGTGGGCATAAAAGAGAATGATGATCTTAAACCATGCATAATGTTACGCCTATAAACAACACACACACACACATTTACACAAATACATGCTTATAATAACACGCACTCACTCACGCACACAAACACACACACACACACAAACACACACACATATATATATATATATTATATGTATATATACACGTACATACATATATATAAACAGGCATATATATATATATATGGTGTATATGTATACGTATATATTAATATGTATAAATATATAAACATGTATGTGTGTATGTATGTACGTGTGTCCACGTGTGTGTACGTGTGTGTTTGTGTGAGGTGTATATATTTTGAAGATTCTCCTTAAGACTTTTCCTTTTTCTTTGCGCTTTACAGATATCTCATATTATAATATTAATATAAATAATTATTATTACTATTATAACAATAATTATAATTATAATTAAAAATAATAATTATAAATGCCGCAAGAATGATTCTGATGATGACCTTAATCTCGACGGATTATTTTTATTACTTTTTCAAGTTCAAAATTAAATTGAGCTGGATCGATATTTCAAATTGATAAATATTTAATAAATCATTAATAATAATCAATAAATATAGATAATAACAATAACAAATTTAATAATAATTATCATAATAATTTTAATTATAATAATAGCAGTAATAATAATAATTAACGCGAATATGACGGAAAGAAAATTTGTTGCTCAACTGTTTTTTGTTGCAATAATTTCACTCCAAACTGTCAACACAGTCAACAACATTTACAGCAACAACAACAACAACAGCAGAAGCAGCAACAACAACAGCAACAAAAGTGAATTATTTGATGACGTTGTAAAGGAATCGGTTGGATATAACCTGACGAAAAAGTTTCAAAATGACGACGAATTTCCGTTGGATTACTATCAACTTTCCACAGAGACTTACGATGCTGATTTTGTGTCGTCACAGCAGCAACTGCTACGCCCACAACCACAGCAACATCCAGATCCACAGCATCAGCCACAAAAACAACAACATCAACTCCATACGACTACAACATCATCATCTGTTTTATCATCATCATCGTTAACTTTCTTTTATGATTACGGTTTGCCAGTATCAAAGACAACTACACCATCAGCAACTACAGCTTTTTGGATTACAACAACAACAAAACTTGATGCTACCAGCAACCATCAAACATTCACATTAACTCCTAGGTACTTAAACGATTCAACTGATTTTGAGTACAAGAACAACAACGACGACAATGACAACAACAGTAGTAGTAGCAACGATCGTAACAACAACAATTACAACTACAACAAATATTTGGATAACAGCAACAACAATTTAGATACTCAGCACAAGGCCAATCAACATCATCAACAATTCGCAACATTAAAAACATCAACAGCCAATACACCAACTACAACAACAAAATTATTACCATCACCCTTGACAACAACAACAACAACAACAGCAGCAAACTTCCAAACAACAACAACAACATCAACTGATTATGACAACAACGACCCATGCTATGATTCCAATACAGGCGAGGCACAAAGGTATGTTTGTAAAACCTATCCGCTTGCAAAATTCATTGAGGGGCGATTGATAAACCAATTGATTGATTGATTGATTGATTGATATATATATATAATTCTATATGACCCATTTTTGGAGGGAATCGGAAATGTGAAAAAGATGGGAACAAATTTTAATTCACCCCTTATTTGTATGTGTATCTGGAATTGTGTGTGTGATTGTTTGTATATGTGTGATTGTTTTTGTATGTGTAATTGTGTGTGTGTGTGTATGTATGTGTTTTAGTTTGTGTGTGTTTCTAAGGTGCCAGCCTGCATTCGAAGACGCGACCTTCGGAAGAACTTTCAGGGCATCCAGTCAATGCGGCCAGGCTCCGTCTATGAACTGTGTGGATGTTGCAACTCTTTCCAGGGGTGAAAATGATGACGACGATGATGAGGAGGATGAAGACAAGGAGGAGAAAGATAATGATGAAAAGAGAGAGAAGGATATTGGCGAGTTTGCTTTTTAAATTTTCATTTTCAACAAAAGAATTTTCGTGAATCACCGTCACTTTTATTCTCGTCTCCAGATAATCATCATTGTCCTTACAACATCATCATCATCATTCTAACATCATTATCATCATCATTCTAACATCATCTTCATCACAATCTCATCACAGCAACATCATCACCATCACGGCCATCATCATCATCAGTAATTTACTAATTTGTCTATATTGACGTTCGGCGATGCAAAGAATGAAAGCTCTTTTTTTCGTATTTCCGCGAAAAATTTTTCTCCTCATTGTCAAAGCAAAATGACCGTGTGGACAGTTGGGATGTCAGCAGTAATTGAAGTGATTGGATTTGCATAGAAGATGTTTTGTAGTCGTGACGTGAAACATCTTTTGTGTGTGTGTCGTGTATGCGTGCATGTGTGTGTATGTATGCATGCATGCATGTTTGTGTGTGTATGCGTGCATGTGTGTGTATGTATGCATGCATGCATGCATGTTTGTGTATGTATGTATGCATGCATGTTTGTGTGTGTATGCGTGCATGCGTGCATGTATGCGTGCATGTTTGCCTGCACACGTGTTTATTTCTGTATATACGTGATCATATTTGCGTCTATAATATTTTTGTATGTGTGTATTGTTGTATAAAAATAGGCAAGTGTGAATGGTTTTGATATATCTGTAAAAGGTTTTTGTCTGTAGAGAATTCTTTTTAGACATTTTTATGTGGAGTTATACAAAAAGAGCAATCTTGAATTGCGAAACAAACATTTTACTGTATTATGTATGCATGTGTGTGTGTGTGTGTGTGTGTGTGTGTGTGTGTGTGTGTGTGTGTGTGTATTCATGCACGTGTATGTGTTTAACCCACATCTCTTTCACATTTCAGCGCCGACCAAACAGCAGCGCCAGCATCACCGCTTCAACTTCACAAACCTCAATTGGGCCAAATTTCGAAGCGACGCTGCGAACAAAAAACTTTGTTTCATATGTGACAAAAATCAAATTAACAGAACGCACCCTGTGACGTATTTAAATGACGTGGAAAGTTCTTCCGGGCCAACGTGTTGGGTCTCGAAACTTCGAGATCGAAAGGTCAACCTCACCCTCAGTTTAGATAAGAGGTACGAGTTCACTTACGTCACTGTGGAATTTTGTAGAGGTAGTCAGATTCCAGATCCGCTGATCGTTTGGAAGAGTTTTGATTTCGGAAGAACGTGGGATGTGTTGAAATATTTTTCAAAAGATTGCTCTGCATTTCAATCTGGAGGTTTGTTTGAAAAGTTCATCAGCCAATCTGACAAGAAATCCATCGGCAAACCTGAAAAATGGAACAGAAAACAAAGCTCAGACAACTTTAACACGAATCGGCAAAAAACTCTTCAAGAGAAAAACGCTCGAAAGGTTGGGTACTACAAGCCAGTCTGCAAGAACATACCCTTCTATAGCAGCGTGCCACTGAAAATCTCCTTCACGAACAAGGATGCGATGATGACGAGAAAGATGAGAGAGATGATGATGACGATGACGAAGAAGGAGCTGGAAGATCCGGACTACAATGGGGGTCTCAATCGATGGATGACAATGTCAGATGTCCGTCTGTCCCTCTTCCATGTAAGTACTCCAATGCAACTTTTTATTTTTTAGAAATTCTGTTTAATAATTATAAATGTGAAGGAACATTTACACATGCAAACAACATTTTATACTAGCACACACACGTGCACAAACACTCACACACACGCGCGCACGCATATACACGCACACAAACAAACAAAACTATGCCAGTCTGACCTGGGGAAACTGAACGAAACCCACTTCTTCGCGATTTCAAACGTGGTTCTTGGGGCTCGGTGCAAGTGTAACGGCCACGCTTCGGAATGCGCCCCTAAAGAGGAAATCCTTAATCAAGAAGGGGGTGGTCTAGTTAGAGATCACCAAACTTTTAGCGAAAATTCTAAGAAGAGATTAAGATGTAAATGCCGGTAAGAATTGAAATAACGATCATTTTGATTTTGTTATGTTTGTTATAATGGAGTAAGTGAATTGTTTTATGTCAAATTCTCATTAATTTCACTGAATTCCACTTTTATTTCTTTCCCTAACTTCCATAATTTACATTAAAACAGGCACAACACGAGGGGTCCAGACTGCAATGAATGTAAATCCCTTTACAACGATCGGCCATGGGCTAGGGGTACAACTAAAAACCCCAACGAATGCCTAGGTTGGTGGGCAGTTATTATTATTATTATTATTATTATTATCATTGCTATTATTATTATTATTACTGCTATTTCTAGCTTGCAATTGCAACCAACACACGAACCATTGTCGTTTTAATGCAAAATTGTTCAAGTTGTCAAAAAATCAGTCTGGAGGTGTGTGTGTAAGATGCAGGCATAACACTATTGGAAGGTTGGTTGATTGGTTGGTTGATTAGTTGGTTGGTTGGTGAGTTGAATGGTTAGTCGACTGGTTGATTGGTTGATTGATTGGCGAGTTGAATAGTTAGTTGACTGATATATATATATATATATATATATATATATATATATATATATATATATATACATATACATGTGTATGTTACTGCTATTTCGGTTGGTTGGTCGATTTATTGTTTAAGTGAGTGAGTGAGTGATTGATCTGTCAAATTTATAATTGATTTCATTGTTGATAAGTAGTAATAACACTAATAATAATGATAATTATTATTACAATTCTATTAATTATTATCCATAATAATTTAAAGATATTGCCATATCTGCTCCGACGGATACTACAGAAATCCAGACGAACCACTCGACAGTGCCAGAGCTTGCATACGTAAGTTGCAACCAACTTCACTGCCATAATGTAATAAAATAATAATAATAATAATAATATTAATA